CTTTCTACCTGTAATCTCAATAATTGAACTTGGTATTAAATGTAGTAAGGCTCTAAAAAAAAAAAAATAAAAAAAAAATAAAAAGTCTATTCATTCTGTTTTTAAAAGTCCGTTAGTTCTGTTTTTCCCTTATATAGCATCTGAGGTTCCCAGAGTGGTTTACCATATTATGAAGAGTAGCACATGGCGTTAGGTTGTACATGTAGACTAGATTTTCCTTTAAGTTTGTATTCTCTTTTACACTAAAGTCTTTTGTTCATCTGGAATTTATTTATTTATTTATTTTTAAATATATTTTATTGATTTTTACAGAGAGGAAGGGAGAGAGACAGAGAGTGAGAAACATCGATGAGAGAGAAACATCGATCAGCTGCCTCCTGCACACCTCCTACTGGGGATGTGCCCACAACCCAGGTACATGCCCCTGACCGGAATCGAACCTAGGACCCTTCAGTCCACAGGCCGACGCTCTATCCACTGAGCCACACCGGTTTTGGCTGGAATTTATTTATTTATTTTTAAATATATTTTATTGATTTTTCACAGAGAGGAAGGGAGAGAGACAGAGAGTCAGAAACATCGATGAGAGAGAAACATCGATCAGCTGCCTCCTGCACACCTCCTACTGGGGATGTGCCCACAACCCAGGTACATGCCCCTGACCGGAATCGAACCTGGGACCCTTCAGTCCACAGGCCGACGCTCTATCCACTGAGCCAAACCGGTTTTGGCTGGAAGTTATTTTTGATGTGGTGGGAAAGTCCAACTTCTTTTCCTCCAGATGGAAAGCTGGTTGTGTCAGTACTGTATGTTGAAAGGCCATTCTTTTTTCAATACATTGAAATATTACAGTAACAAATATTGGGGCCTTTTCTAGAATCTGGTTCTCTATTCTTTCCATGAATATATTTTTCAATTTCTATGTCAAATGCCATATCAATTTCATTCTAACAAATTCGGAGCATATTATTATCTGGTAATGGAAATTCTCCTTCCTCTTAGTTTTCTTGTTTATTCTTGTGTGTTTGTTTGTTTTTTGTCAAATGAATTTTAAGATTATTGTATGCAATCTTCTCTCCCACCCAAAATTTAGTATTTTTAAAAACATATATTTTATTGATTTTTACAGAGAGGAAGGGAGAGGGATAGAGAGTTAGAAACATCGATGAGAGAGAAACATCGATCAGCTGCCTCCTGCACACCTCCTACTGGGGATGTGCCCACAACCAAGGTACATGCCCTTGACTGGAATCAAACCTGTGATCCTTCAGTCCATAGGCCGATGCTCTATCCACTGAGCCAAACCAGTAAGGGCCAAAATTTAATATTTTAATTAAGATTGCATTAAATGTGTTTATTAACTTCAGGGAAATGGACATTTTAATAATGTTAAGTCTTCCCTCTGCCAGGAAAATTGGTCAACCCATCTAAATGTTGTAGCCCTTGTATATTATCTGGCTTTGGCATATCTGTATTTAGGATAAATAGCACCACATGCTTAGCTGTGAACTAAAGCCATCTGCTGTAGAAACAGGACCTCCTTAATGCTTTATATGATATTACTAGAGGCCCGATGCATGAAATTCATGCAAAAGTAGGCCTTCTTTCCCCCGGCTGCCCAGCTTCCCTCTGGCACCTGGGACCCCGGCTTCCCTTGCAGCCCCAGCTTTGTCTGGAAGATCGTCCGGAAGGACATCCAATCTAATTAGCATATTATACTTTTATTATTATAGATTATTATAGATCTTCGGCTGGCTCTATGTTGGCTTTCATCTGTAGTGCAGTCGACATGCGATTATTGTTAGCAATGCTTTTTCCCATCATCCTATCAGACTCAACGCTAGGTTTTCAAACACATATGGCTACTCCCTTAAGGTGTAAGGTTGTTGCTGCTCTGGCTAGAGTAGTTATAAATTCAAATAGCATTTTGTGTCACTGTAGGATTCACCTGATTCTGATACTTGACAAGTAATCTTCCTCTGACCTAGCCAAAATCCACTTTAACCTCTTGGATTCTAATAATTTTGCAATATACTTTTTAAAAATTGGTTATTCTCCCTTGGTATCAGACCAGGAGGAAAGCCTTAAGTGTGCATTGTTTTTGGATTCATTATATACTCATAGAGTTGGTTTTCTTTAGTATCTTGGATGAGGAATTGAGCAGGAAATGATCACTGCAGTTTTTTTAAAAAAATTTTAAACATATTTTTTATTGATTTCAGAGAAGAAGGGAGAGGCAGAGAGAGATAGAAACATCAATGATGAGAGAGAATCATTGGTTGGCTGCCTCCTGCTTGGGTCCCACTGGGGATCGAGCCCACAACCTGCGCATGTGCCCTTGACTGGACTCAAACCTGGGACCCTTCAGTCTGCAGGCTGTTGCTCTATCCACTGAGCCAAACCAGCTAGGGTGATCACTGCAGTTTTTGAGTAGAATATTCACTGTGCAACTACTAGTGAACACCTACCCTTCAAAACTGAACATGGGTACTGAAAGCAAGAGTACTACTAGGAGCAAATATACTTTGAAACATTTGAAAGTAATAAAGAGAATGATTATGATAGTTTATAAAACCCTGATGTTCCTGTCAGAATAGGACTGAACTGTTCTGTTCAGCATGGCATTCATTTCTTAATAATTGAGGAGGTATTACTCAGTAGTAAGGTGCTCTTCCTTTTGCTGATAAATTTAACAAGACCAAATTAAAAGGAACTTATTGTCAACAATTTAAAAATTCTCATCTTTAAAGGTGCTTAAATACATCATATTTTTTAAGATTTATTTTTTATCTAACTTACCTTTCAAATTATGTTGATATTCAATGGTCTGTTGTAGCCCTTTTACCATATTATGAAGAGTAGCACATTCTAAAACAAGAGATAAATGTATTTGAAGATTATTTGTTTTCATTTCGGAATCATTCTCTCAAAGTTGAAATACATAAAATAAAATACTGTTTGTGACAATGAGCAGATCTTAACAAAGCTATCAGGCATCTCAAAGTAAATTATATAACAACCACCCTTAAAGTCAAATCAAATTCAGGATTTAGTAAAGAGTTCTCAAAGGCACAATAAATGCAGTAGGACAGGGCGCCGCTCATGTACCTCAGCAAGACCTGCCCTAGAAGTGAGGCACACGTGGACTGCCTGGGGGACTTTGAGGAGCGCATCCATGCGCGTTTCCCATGAAGGAACATCCCAGGGACAGAGAGCCGAGGTACATCAAGTTTTGTTCAAAGATAGACAGTCAGAGCTAGTGAGGTGGCATTTGGGAGGAGATACTGCTTTACTTCCTCCCTGTCCTCAGACCTGTCCTCTTAGTATTTTTATGCCTGAGTTCCAGGGCAAGGCAGTAGTAACTAAAGGAGTAAACACCCAACATGGTGAGTGACAGGGCATCAGCACTTTGGTGCAGTGACTTCTCCACCGTGGGAGACAAAGCCTTGCAAGCATTAGTGCCCTGATGTGTGCATGAAGCTTTCAGTGTACTTTGGGTACCACCAGCAACAGCTAAGCCTTTGATGGGTATCATTCCCACCATCTATTCAGACAAAGTTCCCACCATCCTCCATTTTTCCCCTCTCTTGCTTTTTCCCAGTAAGGACGATGGTCAAATTACATGTGACAATACCTGCTTCGCTTATGTTACCATGTTAGCTGCTACAATTAAAAAATTAAGGGGGCATAGGCTCCGCTATCACTTGTCTTTGTGTCTTTTAGAAGCATGAGCCCAGTAATTCATGCAATATGGGACCTCAGTACTCAGCAAATTGAAAACCGAGTCCTGACACTGGAAGTGTACTGCGTGTTTTTAAAATGTGCATTTCACAATTTGAACACAAGGCGGCTCTCCCAACACATTTTTTTTTTTTAACAAAGGAAACTGGCTCAATAAGGAATTGTTCCTTAGGACACCATTCATTATTTTAGAATAATAGCTTTCAATTCCCTTTGCAAACATTTACCCAATTATAATTTCTAATAGACTTTATAATATAGTTTGAACAATACTATTGTCATGTTCAACTCTTAGAAACTATAGTTCAGAATACTAAACTACTTCTTATCCTATATAATTTAATCAATTGTTGAGCTCAAATTTAGGCTCTACCATTAACTAGTAATTTGCATATTAACACCTATTTCATAAAGCAGTTGGAAATGTTAAATACAATTATGCATGACAATAATTTTTATAGCACTTAGTCCTCAGTACTAATATTATTTATCATCTTGAAATGGCAAAGAAATTTTTTATGTGGTGTTAAATGTGGAAAATAAAATATCAAGATCTCATTCTTTATTGTTGAACAAATTCAATTGTATATATAGTTTGTTCTTCTCTAAGTGAATTAGCACACACTTGACTTTATGAGTTGTCAATCTTACTAGTTCGTTTACGTCTGCTGCGTATTAGCCAAAAGGCCATTAGATTTAAAATGAGAACTGGATGTTTAAAAAGTGTTTAATTATATTTTCAAATATAAAATACACATGAAATGCAAAACTAGTGAAAAATGACTATGTCTGCAATCCTGCCCCCAAACTAACCAGTTTCCCTCCCTGAAAGCAAGCCCCGCAGAGAAACGCCACCTCCACAGGGCCCAGCCCTAGAGCAGGGAACCCAGGCTCCTGTCAGGCACAGTGAGGGTGGGTGCAGCTAAGAGGGTGGCCATGGGGAGCTGAGCAACACGTGGCATAGGTGTCTGGGAACACAGGGGAGAGCGTCAGACTGGGACTGCCCATTTTAACACTAAACTTTTTACCCACCTGATATTTATGTTGGAGTTATTATGAGGCAGGAATTCAACTGTATTTCCCCCCATGATTTTGAAAGCCTGGATTGATTCTTGGATTTGCCATTTCTTAGCTGAGTGGACTCACATAAATTATTTAACTTCTTTTATCTTATTTTTCTTCATTACTGACGTGAAGTAATAAAATCAGTCCCACCTGTCCTTTAGGGCTATATTAAGGATAAAATGACAGTCTAGGAAGTGCTGTGTGAATTTTAAATATTTTACAAACGCAGGGTGCAATGTTAATCACTGTTGTACCCAAAAGCACCCTCATGATATTAGTATTTGTCCAGGCAGCCAAGAACTAACCTCCTTTAAGTGAGGCCTCATTTGTGTGCATTCCTTTTAATAAACAGTTAGCTTTTTCCAACTGCATATTCAGGACGTTGTTCCTTCCAGAAGTTTCTACCATTTTCTGTAGAGAAAACAATATATATCATTACCAAATCAACGCTGTTAATTTGATTTTATTACCTAAGCATATAAAGACTAATGAAAATACAGACTACTTAATATCTGATATAACTTGAACTCCCTTCTTTCTAACCATTCAACCCTCAGTCCCATGGTTAACAGTATGTGTGTTTCCCAAATATTTTATGATTATACTAGAAGACCGGTGCACAAACATTTGTGCACTTGGGCGGGGGGGGTCCCTCAGCCCGGCATGTGCCCTCATGCAGTCTGGGACTCATCGGGGAATGACCACCTGCTGGCTTAGGCCCACTCCCCGGGGGATCGGGTCTAAGCTGGCAGTCAGACATTCCTCCGGCAGCCCAGGAGCCCTTGGGGGATGTCCACTTGCCAGTGGGGACCAGGCCTAAGCTGCAGTTGAACATCCTTAGCGCTGCTGAGGAGGCGGGAGAGGCTCCCACCATCACTGCTGTGCTGGCAGCCGTCAGCCTGGCTTGTGGCTGAGCAGAGCTCCCCCTGTGGGAGTGTACTGACCACCAGGGGACAGCTCCTGCATTGAGCGTCTGCCCCCTGGTGGTCAGTGTGTGTCATAGTGACCAGTCATTCCCAGTCGTTCTGCTGTTAGGGTCAATTTGCATATTACCCTTTTATTATATGCTTGGTGCATGGGTGGGGGCTGGCTGGTTTGCCCTGAAGCGTGTCCCAGTTAAGGGTGGGGGTCCCGCTTGGGTGCCTGGCCAGCCTGGGTGAGGGGCTGATGGCATTTGCAGGCTGGTCACAACCCCTTTAGGGGGGGGGTCCCCACTGGGGTGCCTGGCCAGTCTGGATGAGGGGCTGAGGGCTGTTTTCAGGCTGGTGGGTGACTGAAGCTCCCAACTGCTCCTTTTTTTCTTTTTTTTTTTAAT